GCGGAGGGAGGGGGGGCGAGAGAGAGAGAGAGGCGGCGGGACCCCCGCGCCTCCGACGGGGCCAGTCCTGGCCCCGGAGCGACCGTCGATTTCGGGTCCCGGACTGGGATGACCCGGCAGCGGGGTTAGGGCCGAGGGCCGCTTGGATTTTATCTGCTGCACCGAAGGACAATACTTCCGTGCACGAAACTGGAAAAGAGCCTGAGGACATCATTCACACGGGTCATGTGCTCACTTCTTTCGGCAGATCAGTTGGGAGTTGATTAAAACTTCGGCGTCCTGCGCTAGACAGAGCGAGCTTCTGGCCCGCCCTCGTGCCAGCCTCCGCCCCCGCCCCCAGTCGGCGGGTTCCCCTAATGCCTCTCTCTGGAAACACAGGGGCCGCTTCCGCTAAGCCTAGGGCTTAAGTGAGTTCAACGGGCGCTCCAGGAGCCCGATGCATGAATTTGGTCAAAGCTGGACCCCTTTTGCCGGGAAAACACTTGTGTGAACAGTAAGACTCTCAAAAATGCATCTAACCTGTAGCGTTCACTTATGCACATTTGCAGTGAAAAGTATCAGAAAGCAGCTCTGTTGCAGAGAGTACTAATTGGCTCGGGTGAAGCTGTGGTTCTAAGGAAGCTTCTGGAGAGGCTTCTGCCTTGGGGCTCTGCTCAGTCCTGCCCTCTCCCCGCCTTCTGGTCTTGTTGGTTTCCTTTGTGTTCTGGAATTGGCTGAGCCCCCTCCCTGTCTCAGGGTCTCAACACCTTCGGTCTCCTTACTTGGCACACTCAGACCACCCTCTCCCCGGTTAGTCATTTCGGAGAGTTTTCCAGACCATCTTTTCTCACGAGGACCCGAACTGCCCACGTTGTGCCTTCTGGTTGCCCTCTCTTTCTCACCTGTCAAAATTTGTAATGATCGACCTGGCTACTATCTCCCCATCGACATTGCAAAGTATAAAATTACATATTTCCTGGTTTCTGCTTATTGTCTGTGTCTAGAATGTAAATTCCGTGAGGATTTTATTCACTATGTTCCCGGCACCTTGTCAAAGCCGGTCCCCCAAATATCACTAGAACAACCTGTTGGTAAGACAAAGCAGGGTTTACTGCTTGTCCCTCAAAGGTCTGACAACACCTCATAGGGAGATGGGCAAACCCACAAAATTTATTGAGACATTGAAGTCTGGTTTAAAGCAGGTCTTTCCAAGCCGGGGTAAGAGCAGGGGTTGATTAGGGTAGGTAAGGGTTATGGTTTAATCATGTAGAATTCACATAGCAAAGTGAGGGGCTCAAACAGTGTTAAGGTGTAAATTGTCAGCTGAGAGACATTTCTATTGAAAATCAGCTGACTTTTTTTTAAGTAATCTCTATGCCCAATATGAAGTTTAAACTCATGACCAAGAGATCAAGAGTTGCATGCTCTACCCACTGAGCCAGCCAAGGCACTCCTGATTGATTGTGGGGTTTGGGGTTTTTTTGTTTTGTTTTTATTTTTTTTTCTCTCTCTTTTTTTAAAGATTTTATTTATTTACTTATTTGAGAGAGAGAGAGAGAGAAACAGCATGAGAGGGGATAGGGTCAGAGGGAGAAGCAGGCTCCCTGCTGAGCCGGGAGGCCGATGTGGGACTCGATCCCAGGACTCCGGGATCATGACCTGAGCCGAAGGCAGTTGCTTAACCAACTGAGCCACCCAGGCGCCCATGTTTTGTTTTGTTTTTAATAAGCTCTATACCCAACATGGGGCTTGAACTCACGACCCTGAAACCAACAGTCACATGCTCTACAGACCTACAGACAGAGCTATCCAGGTGCCTGAGAGTCAGCTGATGTTTTCCATTAAAGAGTTGATGGGTCTTTCAGGAAGTTCCTGGAATAAGCAATAAAGTTAATTTGCAACATTCATCTTCCCGGGTGAATGTCTCTTAGAATACTATTTACGCCAGCGAAGACAAGAATAGTCATGTCGACAAAGATCTAAGTGTCCCCGGCCGGTGGCTTCAGTTGTCACCCTGCAGCGACTTGATCATAATGGATGTTTAATAAACATCTGTTGGGTGATTGAACTAAATGCTCCGAGGGGACAGGGACCACATATGTCTTCTCTTCTGTTTATCCTTGGTGCCTAGCACAATGTCTGGCAAACAGGGAGCACTCAATAAATATTTCTGGAATGACTGAACAGATCTGGGATTCTAGTGGATGACATTTGTAACAGGGAGAAAAGGAAGAAGCCCAAGACACTTTGGTGGAAAGCCCAGAGTGAATTCTGATCATTTTCGGGATCTATGTAACTTAATGGCACTGATTTAAGTTTCATTGTACTTCAAACATGTGACTTTCCTTTTCATACAAGAGGGTCTCCGTGTTGTTCTGTGCTTCATAGCTATGGCTGGGGTTATTGGGGTACACACAAATGACGTGAGAAAGGGACGATGCAGGGGCGCCTGGGTGGCTCAGTCAGTGGAGCACGAGATTCTTGATCTTGGGGTTGTAAGTTTGAGCCCCCAGGTTGGGTGTAGAGATTACTGAAATTATATAGAAATAAATAAAATAAAAAATAAATAAACAAGCAAGCCCTGTCTTTGGGACAGAACTCTGGTGTTCAATAAATACTTCCTCGATTTCCACTGAGTTTGATGAATGAGCCATTACCACAGACCTCCATCTGTCTGGATACTGGGCGTGTGGAACAATTAGAAAGTAAAACAAGATATCTGACTCTGGGTCAGGCATACTCCTTTGTCTCCAATCCTTCCTCAGGAAAAGTAGAGAATACAAAAAGAAGCAACAGTGCAAAGATGGAGGGGGGTTGCCAGTCGAGCCTAGTTGCTTAGGCTGCCCAGGAGAGGCAATTTCCCCGATCAGCAGGCAAAGGAAAGCGGGAGAGGTGGGAGTGAAATTCTGGAAATGAGTGAAGGTCTGCAAAGACAGGCCAACAGCACCAGCTGATGACCCCACTTCCGCTCCTCACCCGGAAGGCATTTCCCTCCTTTGGACAGAATGGCAGACAGCTTGTCCCCAAAGAAATTGAACCAATTGTCTGAGGGAAGTTAAGCCTTGGCAATCCAGAATAAATGCTTTTTTATTCTAGCTTTTGGGGTGATCCACAATCTGACAGCTGACCATCAATCAACCCTCTCCACCCCAACTGAAGCTCTTCAGTGGATGTGTCGTTTTGTTTTTTTTTTAAGATTTTATTTATTTATTTGACAGAGAGAGAGAGAGAGCACAAGCAGGAGGAGAAGCAGAGAGAGAAGCAGGCTCCCCGCTGAGCAGGGAGCCCAAAGTGGGGCTCAGGACTCGATCCCAGGACCCTGGGATCATGACCTGAGCCAAAGGCAGAAGCTTAATCGACTGAGCCACCCAGGCGCCCCCCGTCGATGTGTCTTATCCTGTCCTAATCCACGAAGATTTCCTAGGCAGAATTTCCAACCAGAGAGAACCCTAGAGGAAAAATATCATAATTTACGTACCAGCAGAGGAAACCCAGGATACCTTGGTAGTTCTTTATGAAATATTACCAGTGATCACCATGCATACGAGAACCAGGAGCATGCAAAGAAAGACAAACAAACAAGAAGATGGGGACTGGAGGAAACAGAGACACATGCATAACTCATTGACTGTGTTTCACTCTCTTGCGTCTGTCGGCACCGTTTTTCCAACAGCATTTGCTCACTTTGTGACTCTATGTCACATTTTGGGAATTCACACAATATTTCAAATTTTTTCACTATATTTATATTTATTGTGGTGACCTAGGTTCAGTGATTATGACTTGCTGAAAGTTCAGATGATGGTTAGCTTTCCTTTTTTTTTTTTTTTTTTTTTTGAGTAATCTCCATGCCCAGCATGGGGCTTGAACTCATAACCTGGAGACCAAGAGTCACACACTCCACGGACTGAGCCAGCCAGGTGCCCCAGCATTTTTTAAGCCATATAAGTTGTTAGTTCCTAGCTATTGCACACTTAATAGACTATAGTATCATGGAAACATAACTTTTATACGCACTGGGAAACCAAAATACTCATTCGACTTGCTTTATGGCTGTGGTTTGGAACTGAACCCACAATAACTACGAGGTATGACTACGATGCAGAGTACAGAGAGAACCCCTCATAAACATCCATAACGCAAGAAGAGGGTGCTATATGAAAAAGGAACAATCAGAAAACAAATATTTCTCAGTGGCTAAAAATGTGGTTGCAAAACCAGCTTATTTTTTTTTTAGTAATCTCTACACCCAAAACGTGTCTCAAACCCATGACCTGGAGATCAAGAGTCACGTGCTCCACTCACTGAGCCAGCCAAGGGCCCCTCAGCTCTGTTTTTTAATCCTTCTATTAAACATTGTATTTTTATGGAGCACCTGTTGGCTCAGCCAGTGGAGAGTGTGACTCTTGATCTGGGCGTTTTAAGTTCGAGCCCCACGTTGGGTGTAGAGATTACTTAAAAATAAAATCTTAGGGCGCCTGGGTGGCTCAGTTGGTTAAGCGACTGCCTTCGGCTCAGGTCATGATCCCGGAGTCCCGGGATCGAGTCCCGCATCGGGCTCCCTGCTCAGCGGGGGGTCTGCTTCTCCCTCTGACCCTCCTCCCTCTCATGCTCTCTGTCTCTCATTCTCTCTCTCGCAAATAAATAAAATCTTAAAAAAAATAAAATAAAATAAAATCTTAAAAAAAAAAAGGTTAAGGAAAAAACTCTAGGGGCATCTGGGTGGCTCAGTCGGTTGAGTCTGCCTTCGGCTCAGGTCATGATCCCAGGGTCCTGGGATCGAGCCCCGCACTGGGCTCCCTCCTCAGTGGGAAGCCTGCTTCTCCCTCTCCCACTCCCCCTGCTTGTGTTCCTTCTCTCTCTGTCAAAAAATCATCGTTTTGCACCAAAAAAAGAGATAATGAATAAAAAAATTATCTGCATGTAGAGACTTCCTCATGAAATTTCACAACATCAAGACTAAAGGGGCTCATATTAAGAGTTTCTAAAGAGAGAAAAAAACAATTCCTCTCCAAAGGAACAAGAACCAAAACAACTAGATTTTTTACCAATCGCGCTGACTCTTAGAAGATTGAAGAAAGAAATGCCTGCAGTTTTGGAATGAGGGCCTCAACCACCTCCATGTTGACCTCGAACTTCCTAGCTGATTGCGTTCTCCTTTCCAGCCCACCTTTTAATTTGGGGCAAAAGACCCTGCGAGCAAGGCAACCCCTGAAGGGAAGCGAAATTACCCTTCAAGGGATAAGGACTGCCCTGAGCCAGCAAGACCCTACCCATGAGTGACCCCAAGATAGTGATCGACCTTGACCTTCACTGCCACGTGCACTGCTTGCCCGCACACTCCGACTCCGGCCCCACATTTTCCTCACCTAACCCTACAAGTATTTTCAGCACTTGGGAGACAGTGTTTGAGACGCTGGTCCACTGTCTTCCCGGTGCCGGCCTCACTGAAATAAATCTTTTCTTGTTTCCCCACCGCTCTTCTCTCTGCCTTTGGATTTTGTCAGCGGTGAGGGGCCGAACCTGGTCTATTGGGGACCCCCAGAGCAGGTGCTCATACACCCCTGTTTCCGGGCTACCATTTGAGAGAGAAGAATCTCTATCCAGCATTCTATATGGAGCCCAACGATCCCCAAGTGTAAGGACAGAATAAAGACCAGTGCTGACTTGCGAAGTGGGCCTCTACCCACCCTTCCCTAGAAAACTGCGGCTATGTTCCCCAAAATGTGGGGATACATCAGAAAAAAGACAACAGGATATTCAGGAAACAGCAGCTCTAACTCGGATGAGGGCCTTGATGAAAACTGAGCAGTAATGAG